ACGCTATACGAGAGTCTTTGCTATTAAATTGGGAAAAGATTAAAAGGCAACATTGTTTAAAAATTCCAGTCTGGTTATCTACTATTGAAGCATTCTCACACTCAATAACATTTAGAAAGGAACAAATTGTTAGATAGTGAATTATTGAATGAAAAGGATGAACTGATGACTATGTAATTAAAAAACTGTATGGTTATTTATTAGAGGTAAAATTGGAAGAAGAACAATTTAAAAAACCAAGGATTGCAGGGGGGGGGAAATTTTGGTCATGGAATTGATTTAGAGAAATGGCAAAAATTGTGGTTGCAAAATTATAAAATGACAATGTCAACAGCATATAAAGAGAATTTGTATAAGATGTTTTACAGGTGGCATCTACCCCGGGCCAGAATAGCCAGAATGTTCAAGGAAAAAATCGGAGAAATGTTGGAAATGTCATCAGACTCCGGGCTCATATTACCATATGTGGTGGACATGGAAATAAAGTATGGAATATGAAACAAAAGTAATAATAAAATTTATGAAGCGGTTTTTATGGGAGACATGCCATTGTTAAATAATTGTTAAATGAGAATAACAATATAAAAAGATATAAAAAACTCTCAAAAGAGAAATTAAATAACTTGTAAATTTTGGAGATGGGATTAAGCACAAAAGAATTGTAACCGATCGACACACTTTCTGTAATTGTAATGGATGATGGTTGTTTTATGTTTTGTTTTGTTTTAAAAATAAAAAAAAATTCTTAAAAAAAAAAAGATGCCAGACTAATCTTATTGCATTCTTTGACAAAGTGACAAAATTAGTGGACCAGAGGAATACTGTCGATATAATTTACTTGGATTTCAGTAAAGCATTTGATAAAGTAGACCATAACCTACTACTAGATAAAGTAGAAAAATGTGAGTTGGACAGCATCAGCACCAGATGGATTTGTAACTGGCTGATCAACCGCATTCAACATGTAGTCCTCAATGGAACTGCATCTACATGGAGGGAAGTATGTAGTGGAGTACCCCGAGGCTCTGTTTTAGGCCCAGTACTCTTCAACATCTTCATCAATGAGGAGGGGATAGATGGGGAACTCATCAGATTTGCAGATGACACCTAGCTGGCAGGAATAGCCAACACTCCAGAAGATAGCCTTAAGATACAGAAGGATCTTGACAGACTTGAACATTGGGTGCGATTTAACAAAATGAAATTCAATGGTGAAAAAATAAGGTTCTACATTTAGGAAGAAAAACAAAAGGCACAGGTACAATATATGTGGTACCTCACTCAACAGTAGTAACTGTGAGAGGGATTTTGGAGTCCTAGTGGACAACCATTTAAATATGAGCCAGCAGTGTGCATCAGCTGCCAAAAAAGCCAACACAGTTCTAGGCTGCATAAACAGAGGGATAGAATCAAGATCACGTGAAGTGTTAATACCACTTTATAATGCCTTGGTAAGGCCACACTTGGAATACTGCATTCAGTTTTGGTTGCCACGATGTAAAAAAGATGTGGAGACTCTAGAAAGAGTGCAGAGAAGAGCAACAAAGATGATGACGGGACTGGAGGCTAAAACATATGAAGAACGGTTGCAGGAACTGGGTATGTCTAGTTTAATGAAAAGAAGGACTACGGGAGACGTGATAGCAGTGTTCCAATATCTCAGGGGCTGCCACAAAGAAGAGGGAGTCAAACTATTCTCCAAAGCACCTTAGGGTACAACAAGAAGCAATGGGTGGAAACTAATCAAGGAGAGAAGCAACTTAGAACTAAGGAGAAATTTCCTGACAGAATAATTAATCAGTGAAACAACTTGCCTCCAGAAGTTGCGAATGCTCCAACATTGGAAGATTTTAAGAAAATGTTGGATAACCATTTGAGTGACGTGGTGTAGGCTTTCCTGCCTATGGAGGGAGTTGGAGTAGAAGACCTCCAAGGTCCCTTCCAACTCTGTTATTCTATTTTATTAAGTTGTTTAGGAGTCTAGTGGTCCACTTCAATAAACTCAGTTTTGCAGCAATTCTTCTCAGCCCCAAGGAGCCTATAATCCACAAGTCTCAGTCTCTCTTTCTCTCTCTCCCTCTTCCCTCTCTCTCCGTCTATCTCTGTCTCTCCTTCCCTCCACTATTTGATTCCCTCCGGAGAAATTAAGATTTCAAATACAACTAAAGTTTAGCTCTCAGGTACATTCAGAGACTTTTACCTCTTATATCGAAAGAAAGAAAAGTGTGCTACAAGAGCAAATGGGGGTGGGGAAGAGAAACCAGGACATGGAATGCTTGATGGGTACAGAGATAAGACTGGCTCCTGAGGCATCTTCTGCAGGATCACCGTCAACCCCGGCAGTGCCCTGGGATAGCTCGCTGAATTAACAAGACGACAGCAGAGAAATACATTTATCTGAAATTTAAATCATAGGGCACATAACAAGAAAATGTGTCAGGAAGAATACATACCTATGTTATGACCTATCACCACTTAGTTTCAATGTGAGGAATTTCAATCACTCACAACCTGACTTCTCCCTGCTGGCACTGGATTTTTTAAACAGCACAACTAATAGTCAGGAATGATGGGAGTGTAATGAAGTAGCGAGTGGAGGGCCATCATATCCTTATTACTGAACTACAGTTTTTACCACAACCCCTGAATCTGTCTTCCTTCCTATCATCCTTCCTTCCCTTCCTCAGTCTCTGTCTGTCTCTGTCTGTCCGGGGGGGGGGGGGGGAGGGAAGGAACCCCTGAACTGGTGCTAGATGATGAGAATCTGACATCCAGAGGCTGATGAGCCGCACACTGATGATCAGCTGGTCGGCAGAGACCCAAAGACCACTTGGCTGGTGGGAAGGCAGGGCATCACAAGACAGGCAGCCTGTAGTATCTGCAGGACAAGTGACTGACATCTGGGAGGCGAAAACGAGCCGACGCTGCTGTTGTCAGGGGAGAGAGGGGCAGGGTCACATTGTGGATCCACGTCATAATGGGCTCCAGGAGGGAGACCCTGTCTCCCCCATTGTGAAACACGCCCTCCCCTGCCCACCCTCCCCCTTCGCCCTTACCTTTGCGGTTTGCATACCCCCGCGGGCTGGAAGATAAGGGCGATGGCTAGAGAACGGGCGATGCAGGTGACACAGCCAGCCACGCAAGGAATGGCTGATAGGGATGGGGCTAAGGGCAGGGCGGAATCCCACAACTGCATGGGCCCAATACATTGCTTCAGCAGACCGTAGCCATCCCACAGGCTGTACTTTGAGGATCTGTGTACTAAAAGGTCAGGTCCTGTCCTTAGATTTTGGGTGGGGAAATGTAAATTTTAATCCCATCAATTGGCATTCTAGGTGTTTTGTTTGTGAATAGGCTGGCCTAGATTTCTTAATGGTCACAAAATATCCATCTCTAAAAACTTCAGGCATCTGCTGGAAACAGTTGTGGCTGCTTTCTGCCTTTGCTAGTATTTTTTTTCTCCATTTCTCCTTTGGGGAAATATAATATTCTGCCTCTTTTTAATATTACCCAAAATATTTCATTCTTTGGGTGGAGGGGTGTGTCTGTTGTGATTACTCCATACAATACACTCACACCTTTTGATCTAACTTTAAAGCAAGGGGAGGATGTTAATTGATGAAATGATCCCAAGAGCTTCAGCGGCATTAAAGGACAGGGTTTCGGTTGGAGGCTTTTAAGAAGAGACTGGACAGTCTCTTGTCTGAAATGGAATAGGGTCTCCTGTCTTGATCGGTGGGTTGGACTAGAAGACCTCTAAGGTCGCTTCCAACTCTGATACCGCAATTCAGCCCAAAAATTCACTGTTGCTAAGTGAGACATCTGTTAAGTGAGTTTTGTCCCATTTTACAACATTTCTTGCCACAGTTGTTAAGTGAATCACTGAAGTTGTTAAATTAGTCACGCGGTTGTTAAGCGAATCTAGCTTCCCTGTTGACTTTGTAGGTCAGAAGGTGACAAAAGAGGATCACATGAGTCTGGGACACTGCAACCATCATAATTATGGGTGTTTTGCTAAGCACCTGAATTTTGAACATGTGACCATGGGGTTGCTGCAGTGGTTGTGCGAAAAACAGTCAAGCGAATCACAGTGAAGCCACCCTCATATGAAGGAGAGCCAGTTTTAAATCATGTACCACAAATGGAATAAAATCTGGGGAGAAAAGGAAAATGTAGCAACTGACATGTTTCAATCAAATTGCTTCTTTTGGCTTTTGAACCATGAAGGTCACCTGCAGGGCAGAACAGCCTTTACATCTGAAATTTTACATTGCTTTTCTCACTGCCCTAAACTCCCCCAATATATTTGCTATTCATATGGTTTCTTCCACTTGGGTGCCTCATTCTTGACACAACCTGAACAGACATGCTTGGTGCACTGAATTTCTGGAACTGTAATCGTGTTTCCCCAAAAATAAGCCCCTGTCTTATATTTTTTTGAATCCTGAAATAAGTGCTTGGCCTTATTGCCATGCGCTCAAAAGCACAATTGGACTTATTACCAGGGGATGTCTTATTTTGGGAGAAACAGGGTAGAAAAAGAAGAACATTGAAAAAAAGCCCTCATGTCTCTTCTCCGCTTGTTTTTTCCTTATATGAAGAAGCACAATATCTTTAACTATAGTCTCAGTGCTCCAATCCCCAAGAGATGCTGGCTGGAGAATTCTGAGGCTGAAAATCTTGGGGGCACACAGGGAGAAAAAGGCTGGGACTCCTGGCACATAGCATTTCTATCATCCACCATCACAAAAATGCAAAGAACACTCCCAAAAAGTTTTTTACATAATAGCCAAATTTTTACAAAAATAAATATCCAGCAACTTCTTATGCTGAAAGCAAGATAGCCATTATCAAAGTAATATGTTCCAACTGTTTCTTTCCTCTGCTGCATCTAATACCACTGCATATTTGCCTACAAAAATCAGGCAAATTCTATTTAATTTAATCAATTTAAATAGTCAATATCTCAGCTGGACTTACAATGGGACACTAGAAATGACATTCAAATGGTTTCTCTCCTGTGTGAATCCTCTGGTGTTTCACCAGGCTGGAATTGTGACTGAAACTTTTACCACAATCAGCACACTCAAAGGGTTTATCTCCTGTGTGAGTCCTCTGGTGGCCAATGAGTTTGGAATGCTGACGGAAACTTTTCCCACAGTCAGGACATTTAAAGGGTTTTTCTCCTGTGTGAATCCTCTGGTGTTGAACCAGGTTGGAATTCTGACTGAAACTTTTCCCACAGTCAGGACATTCAAAGGGTTTTTCTCCTGTGTGAATACTCTGGTGTTTCACCAGGTTGAAATTCTGACTGAAACTTTTCCCACAGTCAGGACATTCAAAGGGTTTTTCTCCTGTGTGAGTCCTCTGGTGTTTCACCAGGGTGGAATTGTTACTGAAACTTTTACCACAATCAGAACATTCAAACGGTTTCTCTCCCGTGTGAATCCTCTGGTGTCGAACCAAGTTGGAATACTGACTGAAACTTTTCCCACAGTCAGGACATTCAAAGGGTTTTTCTCCGGTGTGAATCCTCTGGTGTTTCACCAGGCTGGAATTGTGATTGAAACTTTTACCACAATCGGAACATTCAAAGGGTTTTTCTCCTGTGTGAATCCTCTGGTGTTGAACCAGGTTGAAATTCTGACTGAAACTTTTCCCACAGTCAGGACATTCAAAGGGTTTTTCTCCTGTGTGAATACTCTGGTGTGTTACAAGGCTGAAATTGGTACTGAAACTTTTCCCACAGTCAGGACATTCAAAGGGTTTTTCTCCTGTGTGAATCCTCTGGTGGTTCACCAGGGTGGAATTGTGACTGAAACTTTTCCCACAGTCAGGACATTTAAAGGGTTTTTCTCCTGTGTGAATCCTCTGGTGTGTCATGAGGCTGAAATTGGTACTGAAACTTTTACCACAGGCAGGATATTCAAAGGGTTTTTCTCCTGTGTGAATACTCTGGTGTTTCACCAGGTTGAAATTCTGACTGAAACTTTTCCCACAGTCAGGACATTCAAAGGGTTTTTCTCCTGTGTGAGTCCTCTGGTGTTTCACCAGGCCAGAATTGTGACTGAATCTTTTACCACAATCAGGACACTTAAAGGGTTTCTCTCCTGTGTGAGTCCTCTGGTGGTCGATGAGGTTGGAATGCTGATGGAATCTTTTCCCACAGTCAGGACATTTAAAGGGTTTTTCTCCTGTGTGAATCCTCTCGTGTCGAACCAGGTTGGAATTCTGACGGAAACTTTTCCCACAGTCAGGACATTCAAAGGGTTTTTCTCCTGTGTGAATCCTCTGGTGTTTCACCAGGCTGGAATTCTGACTGAAACTTTTCCCACAGTCAGGACATTTAAAGGGTTTTTCTCCTGTGTAAATCCTCCCGTGTGTGACCAGGCTGTAATTCTTACTGAAACTTTTCTCAGAACCAGGACATTCCAACGTTTTCTCTCCTGTATGAGTGCTCTGGTGTGAAACGAGGTAAGAATTTTGACTTAAACTATCCTCAGAATTAGGAGATTTAAAGGGCTTCTTGCCTGTGTGAATCCTCTGGTGTATCACCAGGTTGGAATTATCGCAGAAACATTTCTCACAATCAGGACATTCAAACGGTTTCTCCTTGGTGTGAGTCCATGTTGCCATGCTTCCTAAAGAATTTACTGCATTGGGAGCACTTCTAGGGCTTCTCTCCTGTGTGGGTCCTTCCAAGAACCACAATGGAGGTGTTCTGATCAGAGGTTTTGCCACATTTAGAGTATTGTATGGTTCTTCTCCAGTCGGGATCCTCTCAGGCATAATCAGCTGTGATTTGCAAGTTGTATCTTTCCCACAACAGGCACATCTATGTAGCTTTTCCACAACTCATATTCACTTGGAGATCAAAAATAGGGATGATCTCTTGATTAGCAGTGCTTTTATTCAAGCCGTTTTCTTCCTCCCAGAGTGGGCCTGCAACTCTCTCTGCTCTACATGGCTTTCCAATTGACCTTTTCCTCCCCAGTAACTTCCAGATATTTCCCTCTTTTGCCCAATGGAAAAATAATCTCCCTTGACTTTTCATGTAATGTATGCTTGAATTTCACACCCTGCTTTTCCCAGCTAGAAATCTCTTCCTGATCTTCTCTCGTTTCGCTAGGTAGAAAAGAATTGTGTGACTCTGAAAGAAATGGAAAATATTTTGATTTCTGGACTGACTTGCTTCGGTGTTCAATGTTGCTTGTTATCCTCAGTTGTCCAGAGTGCTCATTGCCATCTTCTTTGTCTATAAGATTCAAATAAAAATGTATCTTTAATTGTGCACGAAATGGCTGCAGAAGATGAGAAAAAAAGAAATAGGGTTACATTACAATGAAAAAGCAAACATGCCACAATACTCAAAGAAGCTCTTACATTAATCATGACACATGGAAGACTACCCAGATCCAAGTTCGAATATCCATTCAATGATGAAATTCCCTTGTTGACTCGGTCAATCACAAATTCTTAGCAGTGCAAACGGTTGTTTTCACATACAGTCAAGTGAAAAAGAAAGTACATTCTCTTTCATTGAATTTTATGAATTTACTTATCAGATCACGTGGTATTCATCTTAGAACAACCAGCACAAACAGGAACAAAATTGTTGGCTAAAATAGAAGAGTATGGAAGAGGGGCCGGATTAAAAATTAATAAACAAAAAACAAAGGCATTAACGAAGAATCTTACAAACCTAGAGGAAAAAGAATTGGAAGATAAATTAGGAATACAAATAGTAAAACAAGTAAAATATTTAGGAATTTGGCTTTCCAACAAAGGGTCAACACTTAGGGAGGATAATTATAATAAATTGGCAAAACAGATAAAAAAAGACCTAGAAATATGGAGTAAGTTACAGCTATCATTTCTAGGAAGGATTGCATCCATTAAAATGAATGCATTACCTAGAATACTATATTTATTCCAAGTAATTCCGATAAGCCCAGGAAAAGATTTTTTCAAAGACTTCAATAAAATGATTGCAGACAATATTTGGCAAGGATTGCTATATTTGGATTGGGGGTGGGAGGCACCATGTTGCGGTGGTTCTCCTCCTATCTCTCCGACTGGTCGTAGTCTGTGTTGGCAGGGGGGCAGAGGTCGACCTCGAGGCGCCTTGTTTGTGGGGTGCCACAAGGGTCGGTCCTCTCGCCACTCCTGTTCAACATTTATGTGAAGCCGCTGGGTGAGATCATCCGTGGATTTGGGGTGCGATGCCATATGTACGCTGATGACACTCAGCTGTACATCTCCACCCCAAACCACCCCAACGATGCCCTTGAAGTGATGTCCCAGTGTCTGGAGGCCGTGCGGGTCTGGATGGGGAGGAACAGGCTTCGACTCAACCCTTGCAAGACCGAGTGGCTGTGGATGCCGGCATCCCGATATAGCCAGCTGGTGTCATCACTGGCTATTGGGAGCGAGTCATTGACCCCCACAGAGGGGGCTCGCAACTTGGGCATCCTCCTGGACACACGGCTGTCTTTAGAAGAGCACATGACGGCCGTGGCCAGGGGGGCTTTTTATCAGGTTCGCCTGATACGCCAGTTGCGCCCCTTTCTGAGTCGGGATTCCTTATGCACAGTCACTCATGCTCTCGTCACTTCTCGCCTGGACTACGCCAAGGCTCTCTACATGGGGCTCCCCTTGATGAGCACCCGGAGGCTCCAACTGGTCCAGAATGCGGCCGCGCGGGTGATTACGGGAGCGACATGGCGCTCCCAGATAACACCTCTCCTGCGCGAGCTGCACTGGCTCCCGGTGGTCTTCCGGGTGCGCTTCAAGGTGTTGGTTCTCACCTTTAAAGCGCTCCATGGCTTAGGGCCAAGGTATTTACGAGAACGCCTTCTGCTACTGATAACCTCCCACCGGCCAATACGCTCTCACAGAGAAGGCCTCCTCAGGGTGCCATCAGTCAAGCAATGTCGGCTGGTGGCCCCCAGGGGGAGAGCCTTCTCTGTGGGAGCACCCGCCCTCTGGAACGAGCTACCTCCCGGAATATGGCTGATTCCGGATCTCCGCACTTTCCGTAAGGCCCTGAAGACGTTTTTATTTCAGCAAGCTGGCCTGGCCTGAATAGGTTTTATGGGTTAGTTTTTTAATTGTATAGCTAGGGATTTTGAATTGGGGAGGCTGTTTAATTTAATTTATTTTTAATTATCTTAACTTTTATATTGTATGTTATTTTAATTCTTGGCTGTTCACCGCCCTGAGTCCCTTCAGGGAGGATATAAATTTAATAAATAAATAAGAAAGAAAGAAAGAAAGAAAGAAAGAAAGAAAGAAAGAAAGAAAGAAAGAAAGAAAGAAAGAAAGAAAGAAAGAAGGCAAGAATCAAACTAAAACATCTCCAGGACATACAAGAGAAAGGCGGATTAGGACTACCAGATTGGCAAACATACTATAAAGCGACATCACTAATTTGGATAAGAAATTGGATAGAATTTAAAAACAAAAGGATATTAACAAAGAGGCTGGCACGCATTCTTATGGGAGGGAAGAGATAAACATCATGGATATTTTCAAAACCACATTATTAGAGGACCTTTGCTTAAAACAGGAGGGGGGAGCGGACCTGGCAGCTATTACTGAGACTTGGTTAGGCCCGGAGGGAGGGGTCCCCCTGGTTTAGATGTGCCCACTGGGCTTCAGAGCGTTCCATCAGCCGAGGACCCAGCGGAGGGGCAGGGGGGTGGCGGTTATTATTAAAGAAGATCTTGGTTCGAGGGAAACCACTGTGCCACAGACGGCCGGATGTGAAACCCTCTTTGTGAGATGGGGTCATGGGGCTCAGATGGGCCTGTTGCTCACGTACCTGGCTCCCTGCCGCATGACAACAGCCCTGTCCGAGCTACTCGACGTGATAGTCACGGTGGCAGTTGATACACCCAGGCTTATGGTCATGGGTGATTTCAATCTGCCATCCGTTGGTGAGACGTCTGAGATGGCCCGGGAGTTCATGGCTTCCATGACGGCCATGGACGTGACCCAGTTAGTTCATGGCCCCACCCATAGGGGGGGTCACACTCTGGACCTGATTTTTGTCTCTGGCCAGTGGTTGAGTGGCCTTGTTATAGGGGATATAGACATGGAACCCTTGTCATGGTCTGACCACTCGCTCCTTCACCTAGGTCTTTGAACTGCTACACCCCGCCGCAGGCGCCTGGGGTGGACTCATCTTGTAGGGTCCACCCCAGGCGCCTGATGGATTCTGATAGATTCCAGATGGAGCTTGGGCCATTTCCTGAGGTTCTAGCACATGACTCGGTCGGGGACCTGGTGGCGGCCTGGGATCGGGCCGCTAGCGGAGCCTTAGATCGAGTCGTGCCTTTGCGGCCTCTGAGCTGGTGCCGATCCCTCGTGGCTCCTTGGTTCACTGAGGAGCTTAGGGAGATGAAGCGCCAGAAAAGACGCCTGGAGAGTGGTTGGAGGGCCAGTCTCACCGAATCTGATCGAACACTGGTAAGGTCGCATTTTAAGACTTACCTAGTGGCAATAAAAGCGGCGAAGTCCAATTACTTTTCCGCTCTTATTGCATCATCAGAGAATCATCCGGCGGCCCTGTTCAGAGTGACCCGCTCCCTGCTTCAACCGGGAGTGCGGGAGGACCCTCTGGAGGGAAGGGCTGAGGATTTCGGACAATATCTGTATGACAAAATCCCTTAGATCCGGTGGGATTTGGACTCTGACTGGGTAGATCCGGGTAGGATGACGAGGAATAGTCTTGAGAATGTTATCTGGGAGGAGTTTGATGCTGTGACTCCGGATGATGTGGACAGGATTTTGGGGAGACTTAATGCGACCACATGTTTACTGGACCTGTGTCCCTCCTGGTTAGTACTGGCTTCCCGGGAGGTCTCACGTGGCTGGCTCCAGGGAATTATCAATGCTTCGTTGAGTGAGGGTCACTTCCCTGCTACCTTGAAAGAGGCGGTGGTGAGGCCTCTCCTCAAGAAGCCCTCCCTGGACCCGGCAGTATTGGCTAACTACCGTCCTGTCTCCAACCTTCACTTCGTGGCGAAGGTTGTTGAGAGTGTGGTCGCACGACAGTTCCCACAATTCCTGGAGGAAATGTCCTATCTGGATCCGTTCCAGTCGGGTTTCAGGCCTGGGTACAGCACAGAAACGGCATTGGTCGCGTTGGTTGATGATCTCTGGAGGGCTCGGGACAGGGGTTGCTCCTCTGTTCTGGTCCTGTTAGATCTCTCAGCGGCTTTTGATACCATCAACCATGGTATCATGCTGCACCGGTTGGAAGAGTTGGGGATGGGGGGCACTGTGTTATGGTGGTTCTCCTCCTTTCTCTCCGACCGGTCGCAGTTTGTGTTGACAGGGGGGCAGAGGTCGACCTCGAGGCCTCTCATCTGTGGAGTGCCGCAAGGGTCGGTCCTCTCGCCCCTTCTGTTCAACATTTATGTGAAGCCGCTGGGCGAGATCATCCGTGGCTTTGGGGTGAGATACCACCAATATGCTGATGACACCCAGCTGTACATCTCCATCCCAGGCCACCCCAGCGATGCCGTTGAAGTGATGTCCCAGTGCCTGGAGGCTGTACAGATCTGGATGGGGAGGAACAAGCTCAAGCTCAACCCTTCCAAGACTGAGTGGCTGTGGTTCCTGGCATCCCGATATAGTCAGCTGACTCCATCGCTGACTATCGGGGGCGAGTCTTTGGCCCCCTCAGAGAGGGCGCGCAATCTGGGTGTCCTCCTGGATATGCAGCTGTCCTTGGAGGAACATCTGACGGCTGTTGCCAGGGGGACCTTTTGTCAGGTTCGCCTGATTCGCCAGTTGCGCCCCTTTCTTGATCGGGATTCCGTGCGCACAGTCACTCATGCCCTCGTCACCTCTCGCCTGGACTACAGCAACACTCTCTACATGGGGCTCCCCTTGAGGAGCACCCGGAGGCTCCAACTGGACCAGAATGTGGCCGCGCGGGTAATTATGGGAGCTGCATGGCGCTCCCGTATAACACCGCTCCTGCGCGAGCTGCACTAGCTCCCAGTGGTCTTCCGGGTGCGCTTCAAGGTGTTGGCTCCATGGCATAGAACCTAGTTATCTTCGAGACCGCCTTCTGCCACCGACGACCTCCCATCGACCCGTGCACTCCCACAGAGAGGGCCTCCTCGGGGTGGCATCAGCCAAGCAATGCAGGCTGGTGACCCCCAGGGGGAGGGCCTTCTCTGTGGGGGCTCCCACCCTCTAGAATCAGCTGCCCCCAGAGATAAGGAGAATCCAAGACCTCCGTGCCTTCCGCCGTGCCCTTAAAACTTTCCTTTTCCAACAAGCCGGGCTGGCCTAACAAATCTTTTAAATGATTTTAAATTTGTTTGTCTTTTTAAATTTTGGGCCAAGTTGAGATATTTTCTTAATGTTCTTAATGTATGTATTATGTGTTTTTATTTGGCTGTACACCGCCCTGAGTCCCTAGGAAGAAGGGCGGTATATAAATTTGAAGTAAATAAATAAATAAATAAATAGAATAAAACGTGGCAAGAGATCAAAAAAATGCATTATTTATTTATGTATTGGACTTGTATGCCGCCCTTCTCCCGAAGAACTCAGGATGGCTCACAACACTAAGAACAGAAAATAC